TGTTAATAATAATACAAGATAATAATAATAATATTCTAAGATAATAATTAATAAATAATAAATAATAAAATAATAAAATAATAATTAATTCGTTCTATAACAATAGAATCAAATAAAAAAATTTTGATCAAATTTGATTAGGTGTATATAGAGTAATCTTCGTTCAAAGCTTTGATATCTATAAAAAAAAAAGCTGCAGCCAATTTTTTTTTAATTTTTAATCAATATTTCTTAACAACTACTTATTCTAATTTATTAATTTTTTTTTATTTTAATTCTTCATACCTGTAGAATTAAAAATAAAATAAAATTCATCGGATTTAAATAGGTAGTTAAGAAATATTGATTGAAAGTTGAAAAAAAATTGGCCACAGCTTCTTTTTATAGATACAAAGCTTTGACCGAAGATTACTCTATACATATACCTGGTTATTAAAACAAAAAATTTAACTAAATTTTATAGTATTGTAAAAAACTAGTTTTTAAGAATTTTAAGTATGTAAAATAAATTTAAATATCATAATGTATAAAGCAAATGAAAACTTTAATAAAACATAATTTCATTAAATTTTTTAATGAATAAATAAATTCTATTTAATAACTTTGGCTAAGCTAATTTTTTAGTTTTGTTGATTATTTTGCACATTCTTACTCAAATTATGCTCCTTTTTACATATTTTTTTCTTTTTTCTAACTGGAATAGAATAAGGATCTGAATTTTCTTTATTTTTAGAAGTAGACAATTTTTGTCTTGCGCCACCTCGTTCCGTTTTGCAACATTTAATTGATTCCACCTGAACCCGTATATGTGTACCACTCTTGACACAAACCATCAGATCTAAATTTTTATGGAGATTATAAAAATAAGAAGTTAACTGGAGAATAGATTTTGACTTGGCTGCGTTATAACGATTTTTAAATTTGTTTAATGCAATTCGTAGTGTTTGATTCGCATTTTGATAGTCTGATTTAATTTTTTCTAAAAATGTAATAAACTCAGATATATCTATTTCTTCAATTTCTTCACTTGCATTTTCAGGTTTACTAAAAAAATAAATTAATACATTAAAGTTATATTAAAAAAAATTAATAGATAAATAAATAAAAAATTGCATATGCCCAATTAGTAATCATATTGTTTTGCATTTCAATTTCTTTGCTTGCATTTTCAGGTTCACTAAAAAAATAAATTAATATGTTAAAGTTATGTTTAAAAAAATTAATAGGTAAATAAATAAAAAATTGCATATGCCCAATTAGTAATTATATTGTTTTGTGTCTCTATCTCCATCTCAGTACATAAAATTTCTTGATTTTGTAGAACAGATTGTGCACATAATGATGCATAAAAAGAATCATCTTCGACAACATAACCTAAAGAAGAATAATTTTTTATTAAATAAAAGGTAATAAAATATATAAATTATAATTTAAATATACTTGCCAAGGGCTATATAAGCATACATTTTACGGTCATTTAATGTTAATGAAGGAACAAAATTAAACATTGAAATATGATATTTCATTGAAACCGCACCCTGGTGCTTATAAGGAGCACCCGATATTCCAATATAACATGTGCAAAAGCTGATTTTGCTATTTACAATATAAATTAGATTACTGTTTTCCTTTATACTCGGTACTAAGTATTTATTTATTATATTTGTTGGTTGAATTGCATCTGCATTTACTGTATTCCACCCAGGACATAAAAATCGGTTTGCAATGCACAAAGTTCCTAGATGTTTGTGTGCAATTGCAAGTAATTTTTGCTTATAAAATCTCTTCATATTAGTTGTTATGAATTGGAATACTTGAACAGAGTTATAGGCCTGTGTTCTTGCGAAAATAATATCATTCATAATTCTGAAGCTTCATTCAACATAGTTGTTAGTGTTATTACTATGTGTAGGCAAACCTAATCGGAAGGACATAGCCCAAAATTGTCAATGTTCCTATAAAAGTTCTACATGCTGTTGCAGTTGAGGATAACAATAAAATTGTTGTTTAAAACCATCATAATGCATCTTCATTTCTATATCCGATTGCGCATATAATATTTTCTTCATCTTATCCATAATAATTGCACGATCTTCTTTATTAATTTTGTGCTTTGCATCGTAGAGCCACCTCCAAAATGTTTGTAAAAAATGGAATACGCATAGAAGACAGATTCCTACAGTATAATAAATTGCAAATTAAAAATTATTAATCAAAAAAAAATATTAATTAATTCAAATCTTGAATATTAAAGCTTTTTCCATACTTTCCTCCTGGCCAACAAAGTTCCAAAGCATTGCGTTTGGCGCATGAATCGTTGAATAGAATAATCATTGGCCCAACATGTGGGCCATGTCTATGAAAAGTATTTGATGAGAGAATCATTTTAAGCAAATTTAACTAAATTAGTAAAAAAAATATTGGTACGTATATAGTAAGTAAAATTAAAAATAAATTATTAATAAAAAGTAACAATAATAAACCATATATATAAAAAAAAAAATTATAATTACAGCTTTTTTCTAATATAACCTCGAACTCATCTAATGTAATGAATAAGCCAAGTGGAAGGGCACTAGCCATACAGCTAGTGTATAGAAGTGTTACTAAAGTATTAAGTGGATCAAAAGAAGATGAAGCATCCATATAACACAGTTCGCCTGCTTGAGGAATTATTTCGTGTATACAACTCATAAGGCCAGTTACAATACAGAGGATAAAGGACTTTCCAACACATGAATTATATTCTTGTAATACAGCTTTTCCATGACCTAAATTGTTGTAACTCTCAACAATAATTTTCAAATGACTAAACATCGATTCTCCATTACAGACTCCAAGTGCTTCTTCTTGATATTGTTGAAAAAGTTTACGTATCTGGGATTATATGCCCTGTCCGCAAAAATCTCCAACAATTCATACTCATTTGTTGTGCTAAGGTGCAACGTATCTTCATATTCATGTAATGCAGAGGAAGGTGAGTGATCATCTTTGAATAAATTTATTAAACTCTTCCGAACTTCATCTTTAACATGACAAAAACTCAGCGCTTCTGCAAATTTAATAATATAGTTATGTGTATATTTTATATTAACTTCTAATGGATGGGTATGTGGAAGCCATCGACGTTCTAACCGTATATGAATAGTTGCAGAACAACAAATATCCTGTACTCATGATGACTATAAACGCTTGATTTCAATATTGCCTTGTTTTTTTTTAACTTCATGGCTATGAAGGCAATGTCGTTTCTCATGAAAAATAACACGGCTTCCTCTGATCTCATACTTTCTTGTTTGGGGCATCATCATTCTTGAGTATGCTTGAAATTCTGTAATCCATTTAGATGCACCCTCTTTATTATCAATATCCACAAACATATCTAACTCAAAATTTTGAACCTCAAAATTTTCTTGTATTCTATATGGTGACATATTATTAAAATTTTGTATCATGTATATATAATTTTGAGGAAGAATTTGTTTCAAGATTTCTAGTAATGAATTCCAAGAAAATATCTAATGAATAACAGAATAAAATACTATTTTGGTAAGTTAATAAGTTCTTAATAATAAATAAGGGTAATATTAGCTAAATAAAGCTTATAATAATTAATACATATACTAATATGCTAACGAAAAACATGCGAAATTGACAAACCTGAGAAGTATTATTGACAACTTCCATATTGATAACGTGTTACAAATAATATCTAACTTAACGTTAAAATTATAGTTAAAAAAAAACTTCTACATGCTAAGAAAGCAAACCTACTTTTGTGCAGTGAAGTAAAAAAAAAATATCGAATATAAACGTGTAAAGTGTGTAGCAGTTTCTATTAGTAGGGTTTGATTGAAAAGAAATACAACAAAGGTGAAAATTTGTTAAATTCTTTTTAATCAGCTTAGTTGCAATAAGTCACGGGGAATCGTAATAATTACATATTTTATTTTTTATACATATTTTTTACTCATAATCGCATTTTTTTTACATTTAACTTCTTTATACATATTTTATATTTCAACTCTTATTGCGATTATGTAAGCATGAATTTTAGTTTAAAGATTAAAGAATTCAATTTATTCAAAGAAAAATATACAATATATAGTATATTAATATATTGTTGTTTGAATGTTTTATTTAATTTATACTAAAGTTATACTGAAAAATAATTTAAATGAATATAAATGAATAAAAGTTTTGCGTAATAAAACTTGTGGGTTTCTTTATAGATCTAAAATTGGCTGCAGCTTCTTTTTTATAGTACAAAGCTTTGAACGAAGATTATTCTATACATACCTAGTCAAATTCAATCATAATTTTTTTTATTCTAATTATACAATATTATAGAACTAAAAAAAAAAATTAGAATTGAATTTGATTAGGTGTGTATAGAGTAATCTTCAGTCAAAGCTTTGTATCTATAAAAAGAAGCTGTAGCCAATTTTTTTTCAACTTTCAATCAATATTTCTTAACAACTACCTATTTAAATCTGATGAATTTTATTTTATTTTTAATTCTACAGGTATAAAGAATTAAAATAAAAAAAAATTAATGAATTAGAATAAGTAGTTGTTAAGAAATATTGATTAAAAATTAAAAAAAAATTGGCCACAGCTTTTTTTTATAGATATCAAAGCTTTGAACGAAGATTACTCTATACACATCTGATCAAATTCGATCAAAATTTTTTTATTTGATTTTATAATATTGTATAATTAGAATAAAAAAAATTATGATCAAATTTGACCAGATATGTATAGAGTAATCTTCGTTCAAAGTTTTGTATCTATAAAAAAGAAGCTGCAGCTAATTCTTTTTTTTAATTTTAACTAATATTTCTTAACTACTTATTCAAATTTATTAAATTTTTATTTATTTTAATTCTTCAGATTAGTAGAATTAAAATAAAAAAATTTTCATCAAATTTGATTTTGTAGTTATTGAGAAACTTTTATTTAAATTTTAAAACCATGATCATGGCATTATTTCTTTAAAGATTTTCAGTATTTTTTTTGAAACTTTAAACGACATTTACTCTATAACTACCAGGTCAATCTTGATAAAAATTTTTTATTTCAATTATTCAAGCTTGTAAAATTAAATTTTAAAAAAATTTATTAAGTATAAACATATAGTAGTTAAGAAACCATCACTAGAAGATATGAAAAAAATCAAATTTTAAAAAGAATTGTCATATTTGTTTATATAGTACAGCCAATCAGAGTAGTTTTTTAAATTGACTGCACCACATACTCTAAACAATATATTCGGCATAACCTGTCACAGGTTTCAGATGTGCTGCAATATGCATGCAGGAGATATGTAATATATATGCAAAGGTATACAATATGCATGCAGAGTATGCAATATATATGCAGGGGTACACAAATTATATAGTATTACTATACAATTTGTATACTCCTACATGCATTTTGCATATCCTCTGCATGCATTTTGCATACCCCTGAATGCATCTTGCATATCCTGCATGCATCTTGCATACCCCTGCATGCATCTTGCATATCTCTGCATGCATTTTGTATACCCCCTGCATGCATATTGCATACCCTTATATATTTTTAATTGTTACACAGCTTATAAGCTGCAGCAAGTTGCAGGGTGTGACAAATAAGCCCGTTTAAGCTGGCTTATTTGGAACACTATTAAAAAATAAACATAAATTAAATAAAAAAAGTCTTTCTGCCAAAATTGATAATCTGTCAAATCTGATAAAATACAAGTTTGCTTTTACTATATAAATCTAATATAGTAATTTATAATATTTTCATATTTAATGCCTTTATTAATGATATAAAATTTGTTCACCATGCTAGAATGTTTAATAATAGTAAATATGAACTTGATAGATTAATATTTTATTAGCTTTGACAGATTATTATTTTTGACAAAATCGGTTTGAGAAAAATCAAATATAAATATAAATAAATTAATAAAATTAAAAACCAAAAATAATTTAAAAAATTAAAAAAGGAGGTGTGGTGACTTAGTAAAGTGGTTTAGTTGTCACCCACCAAGCAGCAGGTCTAGTGTTTGAATCTCACAGATGACAATTTCAAATACTGGGCTGTGTAAGGTTAATGACTATCTCAAAAATAGCTTGGATCTCTGATCTGTAATTTTAGGTAACACCATTCTCGAATGGGAAGTGAGCTATCGCAAAGTGGTAGAGCGTAGACCCTGCATCTGTGTATAGATTACGTAGAGAAATGCATTCCGGTAATTATCAAGTGCAAACTCTATAATAAGTCAATGCCGTGTAAATTCTAGAAAGTCGGAATAACCGAAAACCTGTTTGGGAAGACCCGAGTAGGGATATAACAGAAGCTTTCAACAATGCTGCGGAATAGAACTTGGACAGCACCAGTCCTGGGGTATTGTTCGGACTGGATCTCTTAGAGGTGAGGGTCAACCAGGGTGGCTGCCAGAGTCATACCGGAGGAAAAGAACATGTATTATGAAATTACGTACCAGGAGTTCGGAGTCCAAGAGCATATAAAGCCAGGATAAACCGATCTTGTTCTAAGCTAACTAACTAACTGAAATCGAATATTAAGCTGGGGAGAAGGACCTAAAAGAGAAGTGAAGTGAGTATCAGTGTGAATATGAACCCTATAAGGGTAGGAGATGTGTAAGAGTAACACCCAAGTACTAACTTCGGTTTAAAGGTGTAATATCTCTAATACCTAATCTGGAGTGTGTGAGACACAGAAGAGTTGGGGTGGGCATATGCAGTCTACGCCCATCTAGGTAAGATAATTAGTTTACCAAATATAGATAAAGTAGATAGCAGTGCTGGATATAAAGGTACTATAGTAAAATATATATTGGGTATGGACTAGTTAGATTAAATTCGATACTGTAAATGCAATTTGTATAAGAGTCCTTGTGATCTTCTATATCTAAAACGTCAATAAACTCTAGTCTCCGGACACTTAACAAAAAAAAAATTAAGAAAAAAAATTTTTTCTAAATCCGATTTTGTCAAAATTAATAGCCTGTCAAATTTGATAAATATTAATTTACCATGCTATATAAATCTTATATTTTATAATATTTCCAAGTCTGATAACCTCTTATTACTTTTTTTTTTTTAAGCGATCCTGCCTTTATTCATGTAAACTGTTATATAATTTTTACACCCATGTGTACAAAATTCTTACAACTTATTGCTCTAACGTAATAAAGACTCACCAAGCATAAATGCTCAATGCGACTTGCTATAACAACTATTTGTCTACTCAGGAATCATGAACTTACTCATGATTTCGTATCCCAAAGGGTACTCCCCCTCGATTACGGACTGGCCATTGTATACCTCGTCAGAATTACCAACCTTTCTTCCAACTTTTTCCACCAAAATTTGGGCAGAATAACTATTTCCTACTCTTCTATAAGCAAAATCATATATACCATATTTATGAAAGACCAAAAACATTTAGGAGAATGAAAGGAAAATTAAAACTAAAAACCACAAAAAGAAACTATTCTAAATATAATTCCATCATAAATAGACCAGCAAAAAAAGTAAAAAGAAAAGTCAGCGATCCCGACAAGAAAAAAGAAAAATGCACTATTATAACCCGTGCCAGGTAAGTATAAAAATTATATGCTTATAGCAACTCTGCATATCTCTATTGTAAAGCTTCACCTATACTATTAATTTCTCTCCAACTCTACTATCTCTGGAAGTTTTCACCTGGGTTCTTCTAATCAGGTACTGTCATCGTCCTATGCCAACTCTTCAGTTTCTAGCGGCTCCGAGCCAAAACTGGTAGCACCATGTTCACTTATTAGACACGTGATTGCTATCTACCACGTCAATCGGATATGGGAGTGTAAACACTGTATAACTTATGTCGATCGTTTGGAGAGGGTAAGCCAAATCCCCACCTTTTGTCGAAATTTTTGGAAGACCGATGGGAGGGCGAGTAGAAGAAAAAAAAGAAACTACCTGGCCAAGTAAAAGAGTGTGGCTTGAAGAAAGGCAAATACTTGTTGTTTCCTCTGTATTTCTCGTTTCGAAGTAACAGCCTAAGTGCTTCATTGACGGAGAAGACTCCAGTTTCTCCACCAAGATTTTGTATCCAAGGGCACACACCTCCTGCCAGTTATCTTGTATACCAACGCTCTTGGCTTGCATGCCAAACGCACAGCTTATAAAGGAGTCCCGGAAGAGAAAAACCGTTAATCTCTAGGCAAACCACACGTTAGGCCATGACTCTCTAACAAGATTTTTGTTTTTCTTCAGTAGGAATTTCTGGTCTAGATGATCGTCAGGAAGAGTTGAATGATAACCTCTTATTACTGAAACAATTATAAATTTAAATTTAAATATTAAATTTTTATTAAACTCCCGTGGCAAAGCCACGGGTCAAACACTAGTATATAATGTTATTAAGTTTTATTTTTGTTTAAAATCAAAAAGTCTTAGCATTAATATACAAATATTTATCTTGGTGAATTTGACCTCAAAAATATAATCTATTATGTATTATTATTGCAGAAGTTTTAGTGATTAATAAAATAAAACTCCAATATTTCTTTTTCAACATATTTATATATAATATAGCACTATAATAATGTGATAAAAAATTATTAAAGCATGAAATATTCAGATGAATTAAACCTTAATTTATATATTTTTATGCTAAAGAAATATTAT